CAAGATGCCAGAAATCTGCAAGTTCTAATCTCATCTTTGCAGCTCTAGAAATAGGCATAAGAGAATTAACTCATCATGCTTTATTGCTTGAAAGCATCTATAAACTAAAATTGTATTTCAGATATTCTTCCATAATTGATTCACAGTTTTACTGCAGTTATTTTCTTAATGGCCTTTCCAGGCAATAACTCTTAATACATAAGCCTGTCCAAAACATGGAAACTTGTTTCCTAATTAATTTCTGGAAGTATCAGGACAATGGATATGTTCCCAGTGAACAAAACTCCTTATCATTTTAGCATAAATTTTTGCTTGCCCCAGGATTTGCTAGCTGTACCCACACAAGTGTTTCTTAAGCTCTTTTTGGTGTCAAAATTCATTAAAAGATCTCCTGCCTAGAAGACAGTTTCCATCCTTTCCCCTTTTTTCAGTTTTCTTTTTTAGAAAAGTGAAATAATACTTGAGAAAGATGCCAGATAAAAAAGCCCTCAAGTCCTCCTTGCTACACTCCAAATCCCATGTCAAGAAACACTCATCTCCCCTCACAGGCATGACTCTTAACCCTTTGTCTAATAAAATAATTGAAACCTGCTCCCAGGCTCTCCTGTGCTTCTCCATCTCCCTTGAAATTCTCAAATAGGATGCCCAGTTGTTGCCCTTTGAACCCACAATAAGTCTATGAAAGTCAAAGCAATTAGTTTAATACATCTAGAGAGCACAGCAGTTCCTCTCATGTCTGGGTCTGAGCCTATAAGAAACTGCACATCCTCAGCTGCCTTTGACTGAGAATGTCTAACCACTTTGAGAGGACCAAGACTAGCTGAAATTAAAGCTCTGGATGGAAGAAGACTGTTAATATTTAATGAATGATAATGTAGTTTTGCATTAGTAAAAATAGGAAAGGAAAAATGTAAAAATGCAAAAAATGTAGATGATGGTATAGAATGATAACAAAAAGATGAATTTAATAGCAAGGAATGTTATAGACGAGGCCTGTAATAGCTGGTCTGATAATAAAGACAGAGATGGAGTAATGCTAATTCACAAGACACCAAGCTTGGCAATAAACCTGTTAGTAAAATTCAGCCTCATCAAAGCAGAAGTGAAATTATAATGGCTAACTTCAGGTAGAATTAAATATTTCTGTCTCATGGGAAGGACAATACAGGTCACCACTGGCAGCACTCAGCTGAGAGAGGGGAAGAAAGGTGAAAGAGGAGTCTAAATCAAAACACCCAAGGTCCTTCTCGTTCCCTCCAAGGTACTAACTGTTGCATGGAGACAGAATTTGCAATTGTAGGTCCCAGTTTCAGGGAAGGGGAATGCCTGCCAGGACCTCTTGTGTCCTAGAAGCCTGAAAGGGTATCTCTCCTCTCCCAGGAAACCTGTCAATTACACCAGATCTCTGCCTCTCAAAAACTGAACTGCTGCCTCCTTATGTTCTTATGTCTCTTGGATTGGGAGAGGCTGCTGAGATCTCTGAGGATTCCTCTATCTGTTACCCCAGCCATCAGAGGAAGAATGACCTGCTTGAAGAGAGTATTCATCTTCACAAATTAGAAAAATAAACATCATAAGTTCAGGGTTTTCTCAAAATAACAAAATATAAGAGAAAGACATTCAGAGAACAGGATCCTGAATACAATTTTTTTAAAAATGTGAACACATTATTGTATATTTTTTCAAACTTCTTGTATTTTTTCAAACTTATATTGTACTTTAACTTGTATTTTTCCTTGAAGAAGCAAAATAAGATGGTGCTAAAATTTTAAATAGAAATACTAAATTTTTTACATGGTCTGCCATCTTCCCAAGAAAACAGACTGCAATAGTAGCCTGCTTTATCAAAGAGGTGACTGACTTTCAGAGCCCATTTTTCCAACCTCTTCACTTCCTGCTCAAATGACTATACAGAGAAATAGCTATTCCTCCACAGATAGATGTGCTTTTCATATCTATTGCTGGCTTTTTAATTGCAGTGGCTATAGCATTAGGCTTCAGATATATGACTTATAGGAGTTAACTGTAGCATGTTAACTAACCTGTTGCATAAATTCTGATTCAGCAATATATTATATGCTGGATTCATTCTTCCCATTAATAGAAATACAGCTTTTAATGCAGTTGGAATACAGTGTTGGAAGTTTTGATTCAGCAGGAGATTATGTGCTGAATTAATTCATAATATTAATGGAAGTTTTAAGTGCTGGAAGATGTCACGGGAAGGTTTTTTATTTTTATTTTTAGTTCCATGCTGTTTTCAAAAATGAATTTGAAGGCTTTTTAGATGTTGCAGCACATCCAGATGACACAGCAAAGGCCTTATATTCAGGAAATGAAATGTTGAAATGTCAGACTTCCATGGATCTAGCTTCGCTATTCTGAACCCTGAGCAACTGTGACGCCACATTTTGCCGAGAGGATTTAATGGGCCTGATGATACATCTAGGTTGACCAGTAAACGGAAATTTCACTTTTTCCACACTGGAGGGAGAAAGAATGCAGGGGCAAGTACAGAATCTATGTAGCACTGAGAGGAACGACAGAAAACACTGAAAGTGTGGTCTTGAAACGTCTATTAATAAGCTATGCAAAGTGTCCTTCACTCTCCACAAGCTACTTTGCACTAGGTCTAAGACTACTATAGTTTTTTGGAAGAGGCCTCCAATGTGGAACATTTTAGCCCTGAAGGCAGGGTCTGCCTAGCTAACACCATGGTAAAAAAGCCTATAACCCCACTATAAGTCAAGGAAAATTTCTTCCAAATGTCCCGTATTTCCAGACTCTCACTCCTTCCTGCAAAAGCACCTGAAGACTTGCAGCTGCTCAGCTTCTTCCTCTGTAGCACTGCACATTCATGGCTGCTCAGAAACCCATCCAACACCCTGGCTCATTGAACCAGAGGGGTGTGGGATTTTCTCTCTCATACACACGATAGTCATTGTAAAGAGGATATTAAAATTAGGAGCCACCTGCATGTGGTTTCAGAACAATCCAGCTGAGCTTGTAAGATAGGAAGAAGGCAATATGGGTGTCTGCTGGAGTTCAGATATCCCCAGAGTATGAGTATACAGAAAGTAGTTATGGAGTGTATTGATCCTCTTGCTAGATGCTGGAATAAAGCCCAGACCTATCCCAGACTAAGAACAGCATCTCAATTTTGTGCCAGCAGAGCCACAAGGAAGGCTGACTTGGAAATTTGGATCAACTGATGGAAATGTGGAAACATGGAAGTGACAGATACACAATTTGGATAGAATTTTTCAAAGTAAAGCACACAATAATAGCTTCTCAGCATTGTAGAATCCTGAATACTATTATCTCAGCCTGAAGATGAAGTTCAAATTGCATTAGAGTGTAAATCAACATACCAGAGATGACTTGGGTCGCAGTGGACACCAAAGCTCTTGAGGAGCAGCATCCTGGATGAACTTACCCTATTGCAACTGTCCCAAACTCTTCAGAGATACGGGCATTTACAACAACATGTTTGTAAGAGGATTTAAGTCACAGCTAAGAATATTGCTAACCATGATTGTGTCACACTATGCACTTTTGCTGACATCTCATTTCCTCTCTTGTTTTGTGGTGAAGGTATAGACAATGTTTATTATCAAGTCATTCTTCCTATGGTAACAGATGGAGGTAACAAAACCAAAAAAGCACACAAAAGGATTATTAACATCTATGGCAAGCTTCTCAATACTCTGGCCATTAGTTTTGAGTACTGTGAGCTGGAATGTATTATCACATCCAAGTGCACCCAATCTCCAAAGGAGGAAAAATAAATAATATGAAGAATGGGCATATGTTCATAGAATATTGATCCAGAAAGAGACATAAAGTATTTGACAATGGATACAACAGTAAAATATTATTAGGATTAATAAAGTTTTTATTTAAAAAAATTACATAAAATTCACTAGTTTTATGGATAAGCACTTGATTTTACCCATTAGGTTTCAGCTGCAGAACCAAAAGGTTGCTGCTGAACAATGGACTATTACCTGAGCAGTTGCCACCTGCAGCTGTAAGCTCAAAGCCTGCTTTCGGATAAAGAAAGAATTTGGTGATCCTAGCTCTGCTTCTTTTTTTATGTAACTCATAAAACACACTGACAAACTGGCTGTCCTGTTGCAAAAAACCCACAAGACTGGATTAACAGGACTCAGGGTTGAGGTGCAGTGGCTGAGCAAGATGAAGTTTGTACAGAACATGCATTGTATCTAGTTTAAACCAGAGCAATTAGCTGTTCACTTTCATGACTATTAAACACACTCATAATTAAAATTTAAAAGTCTGAAGTCTATACTATTTTTTCCAAGCTCCAATTATGAGTAATAAGATTTAAGTTTAAGTTTAACTTGTCTTTTAATAGAGGGTAAAGAGCCCTTATAAATCAGTCAAATAGAAATTGCCATTGAAGAGCTATTACTGAAGAATTGCTGTCGAAGTAAAACTAATTAATATCTGTCACTGCAAAGAGTTAACTACAGAAAACTTTCCTGCTTAACTACCAGCACTATTAAACCACCAGGACTTAGATCATCAAAAGAAAAAGTAGGAGAGAACACACTGTTTCTTTTGACATCAGCTTTTATCTTCTTGCTCTGGCAAGATTCTGAAGTCTTTTTTCACAAAATCTGACCAAAGAGAACCAAAGGCAGGTCTGGCTCCCCAATTAGCTCTGGCAATGTGGTGTCACGTCACATTCTCCAAGGGTTTCCCCTTAACTGAAATTTTGGATCACAAAATTACAAAAATGAGACAAGCTCTAAAGAAACTGAGATGTTAATAAGTTTCACTGAAGTGACCTTTGGTGGCTTTGCCACCTTGGGTCCAGAAGTGGTATCCAGGTCCTGAGATCAGACAAAGTGGTCTCAGGTCTCTTCCATGGTCCCTGGTGATACACATCTATTCCAACAGACACTTGTGACCTCACATCTATGTATTACTACGGCAAAAGAGATCTGAGAAACTGCAAGTAGCCTCAGCATAGCAGTTGTGGAAGTCCTATCCTTTATATCAGACAAACTAAACTGGAAAGAGCATTGGTGGATTATTGCAAGAGCTCCTGGAGGGGACAAGTAAGCTGTACTGTATTTGGTTGGGGAGGTTTTTTGGTAGGGTGGGTTAATAATAAACCTCTTCTTAACACATCCTCAATGTCATATATCCACACCTCAGGCTACAGTGCCAGTGCTCACCAACACAACTTGTGACCTGATGGCTTGCTGCAGTTTGGACTTGATGCTCCCTCACCGTCAATCTGGTTCCCTGAATCTTCTTCCAGTTCCAAATTAATTTGGGGAAATGGCTTCAGCTGGAGAGATCTAAGAAATGGGACATGCTCAGCCTTCCTATACATAATCTCTACATTTCATATCTCACTAGCAGAAGAAATCTCTTTAGGTGGGGACTAGCCAGGCCAACCTTCAGGTCTCCTACGTCATTCTCTGTTTGAGTAGTCCAGCTAACTGGGACAACAAATTATGCTTTGGCTTTGTAGATTTTAGCTGGCCACTGGAGAGGAGCTGAGCCACCTGCTGAAATTCTAGGTCTTGGAGATGAGTTGATATAGAAGCATGAATTAGCTAATTCATTCTATTGGGTGAACATTCCTTAGTTGTCCCAAGAAAAAGGAATATTTTCATTGCTGTTTGTAATAACGACAGCTCTACTGGTAGCAGTTACTATGGTAACTACTGGCAATTTATTTAAAAAAAGGGAGACTCATATTTTCACTGGTTACCTAATTTAGTTTTGTTTTCTTCACTTGAAATCTGATATTATATGTAAAACAGCTACCAAATACCATTTTCAGGGCCAGCCCTACTGAGACCCAGTGATCTACTAGGCCAGATCTTGACTGCTGATCTTGAACTTAAGTTTTAGTGACTTCAACAGAACTACTTGGAAAGGTAACCCTGCAGGATGAAATTTTAAAACCTCGCTTTTGTATCCCTACTTCAATTAGTTGTATTGAGAAAACACAACTAGCTCTTTGTCAGATAAAGGTCTGCATTTAGTTTCAGATACAAGCTCACCAACTTGAATTTGAAATTGGGAGTGAGGGTTTTTTATTACCCAGATTAGTTATCAGATTTTTCAGTAGTAAAACAAATTCATTCTTTGATGGGTTGATAGTTGCCAGTCTGTTTAAGGTTGCAACTACCTGTACGAAACACAGAAAAGTTGGAAATCTCTGGTCTTTCCATCTCTCCTCATCTCTATTTTTCTTTATATAAAAGCAAAGCTGTTTAATGCTGGAAGCATGAGTGCCATTCCTTATTCTGGAAAAATAGCCCCAGCAGCTTATGCCTTTATAACCTGCCAAAAGAAAACACCAAACTTAAGTTCTAGTCCAAATTCTGCAGCTGGATCCAACTTCATGTAATAGAGGGAAATGTAGAGGCAGAACTAACTTTAATGACCAAGCAGCCTTTATGCATGTGAAACTATTTTACTGCTTTCACATGTTGGGAAGAAATATAATGATCATTCTGTGCTACATGTGTCTTTTATGCTATGAACTTCACCAAGACTATAAAATACATTTCTACTGAAAAATACAGCCTTTTGTAACACAATAACATTTGGGAACCATTAGCAGCATGAATGAAGTATTAGATACAGCCTGTGACATCAAGAACAAGGAAAGCCAAACAGTCCAAATCAAGACAAAGAAAATGCCAAGAGACAATGTAAATTAATAGTTAAAAAGAACAAACTGGCAAGCATCTTAAAGTGATATTATAAGGGAAAGGAAAGCTGGCCCAACTTCATGGAAATTAAGTGGTTGTTCTTGGAAATCAACTAGGATACATGGCATGGAAACATAAATTGATAAGAACTATTTGGCATTTGGATCCTATTTATAAATAACCTCCCATTTCTACTTTAATAAATCAGGCTGTTTTAGGAAGTGCTGACTTTGTACCTTTTGGCTTTATCAGCAGTACTTCAATAATGTTTAGGAAATAAACTTCACAGGAAAACCTCGGGTGTTCAATTAGTTTTAAATGTTTTAGTGTAGGAACTGAGATAATTAAATTAAAAGGATAATGGTGGCTTAATGCTTTGTGGCTCACATGAGATTTATACATTCCAATATTACCTCAAGCTGTACATATGGCATGAGAAAGGAAAAAAAGGGAAGGAAAAATAAAAAAGAAAAGGTTCCTTATTGGAGGAACAAGAGTGTAGTATTGAATCTGACTACAGTGGGCATTTTCTAGCTTCTCAGGTTTTGTTGGTTTTTCTTCTGTACCAGTGCTTAGTTTGGATGAAGTGACCAGGAAATACAACACATTTAAATACCATCTTTCCTGCTACCCAACCCTCTGAAACCATGAGCAATGTTAACTGAGCTGAACAGCATTGGAACACACTAAGACTTACTTTGCAAGATTCATTTCCTCCCTGTGTTAATTATGCTCAGAGGGAATACAGTGCAAACCACAACCCTGGAAAATCTTGCAAAAATATGTGTCCCTCTCTCAAACTGCAACTGGTAAAACCAAGGGGTTTAAATTTTGCTGTGCAAACTCTGGGATCTGGGGAAGAGTGTGGGCTGGGGGACGTGGAGATGGCAGGGGAGCAAGGGAGAGAGTGGGCTCATGCTGGGAGATTTAGAGCTTTGCAGCTTTTATTTAGCAGCCAAGGGTGGCTGTTTTCCCATCTCAGTCTCTGCCTACAATTCAGTCATGCATTTTTTTTAGTGAAGAAGGGCCCCTACTCTGAGTGCTCCCACTACACCCCAAAAACGTGCCTTTCAGATTTCTGGGGAAGTCTGGAAGGAGCTAGCTGAACTTCAACCAAACAGTGAAATATTTTTAATTTCACATAAGCATGCTTTTTAAAAGAACACAAGTTTCTCTTTTCAGAAGAGAAAACCAAAGGGAAGCTTATATCCCTGAAGACCTCATGGCAGGAGAGCAAACTTTACAAATTCCTAGTGTGCTCTATGATGAGCTGGCTTCCTTTTCCCTCTGAGGAGTGAGCATGGTGCTAGACCAGCTGGGTGTCTCCTGGAGACCTTGGACTGCCTGTGCTACTTTGAGAGCATACAAGGAAGCTGGCCTGATGTATTTGTGGCTGCTCAGCTCTTCCTCTCTCTGAGGGTCAGTCTGCCTCCAAACAGATTGCTGCAAGTAACTGAGACACTGGAGACAGAACATCCTTAGAACGTGAAATGTTTGAACTGTTGGTCCTTGGATGGGAAAGAAGAAAGGGGAAAAGAGGCCAGAAGAGACCCACTGGAATGAAGAACCTCCTCATAAACCCAGCTGACAGTCCTAGAAAGAGCCATTCAAATCCCCTCTAGCAGAAAATTCATAATATTCAAAATACAAAAACCTCTGACTTGCACTCCCTCTCTCCTAGAGCTTTATGACAGCCAGGGGGAACCCTGCTGATCCATTTGAAACAAGATAAATTGGATCTCATGCCAAATTGCTGGTACAGGTGTAGACTAAGAGTGCAGAAGAGAAGATGATCTTATCTTTGCATGTAATGTCACAACTTCCCTTTGACGACTCAGCATCTCCAAAGCCAGAGACAATTAAAAGAATATTGTACACAGGTATTGTGCAATATTTTTTTGCTCTTCATGGCAAACCTGACTCCTGTGTGCTCATCAGATTCTGTGGGAGAAACCCTGCCCTGGGTTCCTTCGAGGTCGTGAAGATAGCACCATGCAAACTCCAAGGACATGGCAGGGATTCATTCATGGCAAGGGAAAATGCCCCATGGACATTGCAAGAGGGCAACTCAGGAAATGTATTTGCCACAACAGTCCTGGGCAACTCAGTTCCCTTCCCAAGTTTCAGTTCCTTCATTTGTGAAATTCTCATACCGCTGCTTGCTCTTTCCCTTGAGGCTGTTTGGTCTTCAAGGCAGGGTTTGCCATGTACTGTGCATTTGCACAATGGCTGGCAAAGCAATAGTATTCAGAGCTGCTCTACCAGCAGTGAATGCATTAACTCCCTGATTCTCTTTGCCTCTTCTATTTGACTATTCAGTGGCACACGTGCAATGGACTCATTTAATTTCATGTGGAGGTGTATTCATGTTGACTCACTCAGAAATGTCTTTATCTGGTCATAATGGCAGCTCATTTTGCAGGTGAATGAATACACTTCAGAGCTGCATAATTTCCTTTTTTCACTGGACCAGTGCTATTCAAAGAGGGTTATACTTTAAATCTGAGAACAGCTATGTGAGCCATTTTAGCAGCCTTTTCACTTATCTATGGAGAGTACTTAAAGGAAAATACTTTTCTCTGACTGCTTCAAGTGAAGGTGTCGTCAAGTTTTTCAGGAATGGCAGGAAAAGGTTTTTAGAAAGACATGGACCAGCTGAAGAGAGCCCAAAGGAAAGAATCAAGAATGATCAGATGTCTAGAAACATGTGATTTACAGGGAAAGGTGACATAAATTTGGATTGCTTATTCTAAAAGGGATTTGGAGAGGATGTGATAACAGTCTTCTAATACACAGAAGTCTGGCTCACAATGAGAGGGATAACCTGTTTTTTCATGGTGGATATAATGAGAAGTAATAAACTTCTGAAAATTGCTGCATGGCAGACCTAGTAAGATACTAGGAAGAGCTCTCTCTGTGGGCATAAAGCACTGGAATAGAGCAGGGAGATTGCACAGTCCCCATTACAGGGGGTCAAGATGGCAGAAGTATAATACTTCCTTCCTTTCTTTAGGCTAAGGGACGCAATAATGACCTCTCTTCCAACCCTGTGATTCTTTGTGCTCCCAAATTCATCTTCATGTATAATGCAGAAATTCTGAATTAGAGATAATACAAAAAACAGTATAAAGAAAATCTTGCACTGAACAAAATCATCACTACTTGAAGTACAGGAAGTACTTTTGAAAGGTTTCCTTGTATTGCTTATTATAAATTTCATTTCAGGTATTCATTTAATTGGTTACACACCAGTGGTGGATACTGGATCCAGAAAGAAAAAATGTAATGGAGATCCTTGGATATTGTTATTTTATATTAGATGAGCTGTGCTCTAAACCTGCAGCAATCTTGGCAAAACCAGGTGATTTTACACAAACAGAGCCCAAATGGACCACATGGACTTCTGCCATTTGAGCAGCTGCCCATACCTGCCTGGAAGTCCAGGAGCACCAGCTAATCCTTCCCCCTAGCAACGGCCTTGAAAACCAATTTTGAGCTTTCAGAGATTGGCATTGATTTTTCCTTAATATCACAGGTTATTCACAGTCACTTCTGCAGTCCCATGCTGGATGCAAAATGCTTTTTTTTGCTGTATTATTTTACTTTTTTTTTCTCTTAAATAAACTGCTGAGAACATTGTCAATACTTAACTTACAACAGCAGGAATAATAGTGTAGTGTAGTCAAGTTCAGTTCCCGCAGGATAATACAAATGATAAAATGCAGAACTATGTATTATCTGATGCATAAATAATGCTGGTAAAGCTATTAATTTTTTCATGTTAAGCGGAGTAAAAAAATCAATAAAATTTTGTAAAGGTTTGATCTTTTCAAAACTTTATAATTTCAGAACAACATTTTTTGAGAAAAATGCTTGCCTGGATATTTGACAGAGTACAAATAGCACCGGCCCACGGGAGTCACATACCACACGGAGTTCATAATCTTTCCATGTGTCTCTGCAGCCAGTGGTGTGGTGCCTTGCTGAGAGTATCCCTAGCTGCTCCACACACAGCTGCTGAGGTCACCAGGCTGTAAGTAGCAGAACAAAAGTACATCCTCTACCATGAAACAAAATCAAAGAGCTGGGAGCTTGAGCAACAGGCACAGGGAAATCTAAAGTTCTGCAGACTCACCCAGTGGCTCCATCCAGAAGCCTGGGCTCTGCTGAGGAACTCAAAGGAAACCCACCTGCAGAGCCTCAGCCAGCAGTGAGTCACAGCCCCTCTGGTGTGAGGGAGCAAACAGCCACATCCAAGGAGCTCGACAGCCATCAGCTGGGGGCTGCTTGGCTCTCACATGACTCCCAGCTGTAAATCACAAACAGGAATAGAAACTCAGTGTACCTGAATGTACTCATTTTTTCCTAGTTGCCTGACCAAAATAGAAATTCAATAAATGAGCAGGAGGAAATTTGAAGAGAAGGGCCAAATTCAGCCTTAGCATAAGCAGTTGTAATTCTACTCCCTGTACGGGCAGGGGTCTCACCTTCCATCCTAAGATTTGGCCCATAGGTAGATAATGACCAAAGCATAATAATAATATACTCATGCAGGGAAATAAAATGCATGTAACTGTCTTCAAGCCCAATTTTTAATTTTTTCTTTATTTCCTCAGAAGAGATCCATAAATATATAAGAAAGATATTCAGGAATACAACATTAGAAAAGACTCCAGAAAAGGAAGTCTGTATGCCTCCTATGCTATTACATGCAATTTTCTACATTTATCAAAAAGCTTCTGTCATGAGAGCCAAATTCTTGAGACAAACATGGAGAAAATTAAGCTTCTAGCAGTAGTGCACGGTGTGCCATTAATTAACAGGACCTAGTGCAGCCTGAGGAACAACTGCAGCTTGCAAAGTAAAGCTAATGATGGTACAAGGCTCACAAAACGGATGCACAGCAGAGCTATGTATATGCTGTCCCCAGACTTCTGAATTCTCACATTGTTCTGGTTTTGAAAGGTGTCATATGGCGGCACAGCAGGCTAATGATATAGCATGTTCTGAGGAATTAGTTTAAGGGGCTTTTTTTTCCCCAACCCAGTGAAAAATAATAGAAATAGTGAATTTTTGGAACTTAATGGGATCATACTGTTCTTTCTTCACATTGTCAACTTCACTTAATTTCCTCCTTCCTATTAATGTGTCTAATGCATATGTCAGGCGGAAGCCTGACACACTAGTGGCAAACAGACTGTTGTACGAAGGCGGCAAAGTGTTAAAACAATTGAGCAAGTGAGTACTAAAGTTTGCTGCTCTGGCCATATGGTACAGTGTTTAATTTCCCGTTGTGAAAGAACGTGGCTGTCATAGAAAAAGATGATGAATAAATTTACTTGGGGCAACTTATTATAATGAAGAATGACTTCTCAGAGGAAGCAAACAGAGGAATTTAGAGTCTGATGAGAAGCATATGGGAAGCATTAAGATATAAGCAAGGGTAGCAAGGCTGTGTGCTTTAAAAATGAAAGACATTTAAGCGATGTTTGTTGCTGGTGTCGACATATGGAAGTGAGAAATGGGTTTTGATTTGGAAGACAGGAAGAAGGTTAATAGCAGTAAAGGTGGTTGTGAAGTGATTGATACTTCGAATAACTAAGGCAGAAAGGGAGACAGCACTTCATGCAAGTCAGGCAACATACTCAGGAGAGCAATGTAATCCAGAAAATAAAGGACATTAAATGACTGGGCAGATCACTTGCCTGCAAGAAGAACTGGTAGGCCAAACCAGCAGTGATCAAATAATAGCCCATGGACAGCAAGGGAAACTGAGACAGGCAAAAGCATCTAGGCTGGCTGTGAAAGGGTGCAGTTGAAGAGATCAGCTGTTTCTCAGGATCAGTATGGTGCAGAAGCCCCGTACAACAAATGATGTTAGGTGATTGGGTGGGAAGGAAACAGCAAGAGTGATGTATGAGAAACACACATCAGTGTTGCTGCTGTCTGTGAGTGTGAATTTTCCCAACATCTGTGCAAGACAAGTGGGGGTGAGTGAATGAGATTGCATGGCTCCTCCCTTGCAGCAACTCCTGCTTTATGTGTGCTCAATGAGGCTGGAGATGCTCTGATACCAGAGGTCTCACAGAGAGGAGCCCTGTACAAGCTGTTTTATGTGCAAGAGCTTTTCTTGTTTTGCTCTGGCATGTGTCCCCCACCAACACTCACCCAACTGCCCAGGGGGAAGTATGCAGAGCTGCAGAGGAGCTGGAGGCATAATTTTTCTCCTCCAATAGATTTCTATTAAAGCCAGCTTCCCAGAGGTGAAAGGTGAGCTCATGAGCTGCTATATGATTTAGCATTTAATACCAGCTTATTCTGCCTGTTTCTGTTACTTTCTCTCAGTTGTAACTCTAGCACACAGAATTCACTCTTACTTGTTAAATGCTGACGTTGCATTGAAATAGGAAATGATATATAATTTGAATGCATAGCAAACCAACTGCACACTCTAGGTACTTTTCATTTCTCAAGCAGAGCAGTGGGCTAACCTGATCCTTATGCTTGCAAGGTTAAAGAACTTACAATTAAAGACAATTGACGTGAAGTTACAAGAAAATGCAACAAGAAGTTTTACTTTTCAAGGCAATGATCTGCTTTTTACTAATTTGGCTTCAACAATTCATTTAATATCATACAATATAGAAAGATATGGGTTTAAGTGGGGAAATTAGTCAGCTTAAAAATTTTAAGAGAACTTGTGACAGCTTCTTAAAGTGAATGAGGCAATTTGCCCTCTGTGTAGAAGATATTTCTGGTAGAAGGTTTTTTAGGGTCAGCCTTCAACAGCTGCTACTGAAATCAATCTCATTTTGTGTCTTCTGTGTTTTGATGACCTTGGAATGAAGAGCCAGTGTATGCAGAAGTGATTAACAGATGCACAAAGTCAGAAGGCATTGTCAGTAAAAAGAAAAGACTATCACTACCTTAAGTGGTAAGAACTCAAAAATCAGAAATGAAATAAAGATATGCAATGTGAAGTCATGCACTTAAGAACCAGTAACTGAACCCCTACTGCAAGCTTTGGCTCATTAGCTGGAAATTACTATGAAGGAGAAAAGCTTGGGTATATTGTATATGATCACTACTGTATATGATCACCACCAACAATGTAATATGGCTCCTAATATGCAATAATGCAAGAAACAAGAAATTCTGGGTAAAAGGTTTCCAGAGAAAATAAGGAAGCATTGATGTCAGCAAACAAGTACTGAGACTTCACTTGGAATATTGGCCAAACCTATTCAAGGCAGAGTTTCAGAAACAGGTCTGGAGAAGATTATGGAGCAGGTTGTTGTGTACTGAAGTTGTTACAGGCTTGTTGTTACATTCCTCATGGGCAATAACTGTTTACACTGAAGAATAAGGTCAGCACCAGAAAAGATAGGTATAAATCAGTGAAGAATAGACTTCAAATGAAAATCAGCTTTCCTGAATAACAGAATTCCTAGCTAATGTGGATTCCTTTCAAGTGGGGTCTGACCTGATTATGAATTTGTGCATAGGGTTGTTAGCAAATAGTTAATTACATATTTATTTCATATTCATACACCGTGGACATGAATAAATGTTGTAATGAAAAATATATTGGCTGTGGCATTGTATTCACAGGAGCACTGTATCACAAAGACCTGCTTCATACTAGCCTGGCATTCCTGAGACCATAAACTAAATATCTGGTTCTTGCTCCCAGCCTCCAAGGAGTGAGGAGCTCTGACCATTGCAGGCAGCACTGTGGTGAGTCTCTGTTTGCCTGGCATCACAAGAGGAAGAAGATAAAAATTAACGAATCTGGAGTGGAGCAGACTGACACCAGCAGCAGGGAGAGTTCCAGAATAAAGGAATGAGAAAGATGATGAAGAATTACCTGAATTCACTAAGCTCTGGCCCCATAGGGCTGAGCAAAAGAAAATCTCACTCTGCCTTCTGAACTAGAGGAGAGCAGCAGAGTTGTGCATTGAGTCTGGAAGACACTAGAGATCAGAGAGGTACACAAGTGGATGTGCTACAGTCAGCCCCTTCCCCTTACTTCTTTAGGCAGAGCCAGGAGAGTATAAGGTGAATACAAGTTTTAGTTAAGATGGACTGAATTAATGAATTACAATTCACTGTTTCAACAGCACTGGTGTCATAGAGTTGGGCTTTAAAGGCTTGCTTTCCTGGCAAAATCCTTAGTCCTTCAAAGAAAAGATTTCTGTGGATGAAAGGGCAATTCAAAACCCCCTCCTCTCAACTATCAAGTCATCTCAGCCTGGAATTTAATTAAATATTTAATGAGCATAGCAGACAAAGATTAAATATTATGTTTCATTTTCCAGTCATACTTTTACTTATTAGACCTTTAAAAGATCAATTTGGTTTAAAAAGATAATATTCCTTTAATATTCTCATAGAGGCCACAGAACTTAATTAATGAGAAAAAAAAATCTCTCTTTAAAGAGCTGGAGACAGGTAGTTACAGAGGAAATAAAAAAAAAAATCACAAAACATGCTGTCTCATGAGTGCCCTGAGGTACTAGGAAACTCACTCTGAACCATGTCTGCCTGTTGGCCAGATGGGGATGAATCGGACAGCTCCAGTAAGATGTCTGAGTTATCAATGGGTATTTCTTTCCTACTATTCACAAAGAAATTCCTGGAAGAAGGGAGAATGCTTTTCTTGCAGCAAGAAGTTGAATATCCAAGAACAAGGGAGATGTAACATGAGGTGAAGAAAAGGGGCTAAATCACCTGTTGTTAAGAGCTGGCATAACTCTGGCAAGTAAAGCCAAATTAACTCAGTGGAGCGATGAACTATTATGATAGTTAAGGATCTGGCTGAGTATCTTAGAAAGGGATGAAGGACAGGGAGAGTGATATGCTGTACAGTCAGAGGGCAACAACATCTCTTATAAAAGAGAAGCAGGGAATAAAGTGAGAGGAGGTTTGGAAGAAAATAAAACAGCCCTGCTCCTTGAGCACTCACTCATGTCAGTGCAATTATGTCCATCCCATATGCTATTATGCTAGCCAAGGACTCAGTCTAGGGAAAGGGCATTCATCCAGGGCAGCCAAGGTTTTGACTGATAGTCTTCAGCTCCCAGAAATGTAGCTAGAAAAGCAGGCATGTTTTTAATATGAGTCATCCCTGAATAAAGCATAGCTGAAGTTCACAGAAGGTTCACAAAATCAAACTGGTTATGCAAACCCAAAAAGTAGTTCACAAATTCTGCAGTTTGTTCCTTTCTGCTGAGGGAACCTGAGAAGACCTACTTTAGTGTTCCTGTGGGTGGAACAGGTTCTCACTCCACCTGCTTTGAGAAGGCCCCAGCAAAGCATATGGATGATGCTATCAGAGCAACTCGTCTACCTGGAGATGGGGACACA